TCCTCCTCCTCCTCCTCCTCCTCCTCCTCCTCCTCCTCCTCCTCCCTACTCCGCCTCCTCCTCCTCATCCTCTTTCTCCTCCTCCTCCTCCGCCTACCGCCTTCCGCCTACTTATCACTACTCTCTCCTTCATCCTCCTCCTCTACCTCCTCTCCTCCTCTCCCTTCTACTCCTTTTCCTCTTCTTCCTCTCCTCTCCCTCCTCTCCTCCTCATCCCCTCTCTCTCCTCTCCTCTCTCCTTCTCCTCCTTCTCCTACTCGTCTCCTTCCTCCTACCTCCTCCCTCCTATCTTCCTCCTCCGCCTCTCCTCGCCCTCTCCTTCTCCTCCCTCCTCCTCCTCATCCTCAGTCTCTCTCCCACCTTCCTCCTCCCACCTTCCTCCTCCCCCTCCCCCTCCTTTATCCTCCTCCTTCTCCTCCTCCTCCTCTTCCTCCTCCTCCTCATCATCATCCTCCTGCTCATCCTCCTCTTCCTCTCATCCTCCCTCCTCCCTCCTCTCTAGAGGAATAAGAACCAAAATCAATAAGAAGAGGGAGTGTCCTGAAAGGCCTCTTAAAGTCTCTGGGGATCTCTGGAGGTCCCCGGAAGCCTCTGGAGGAGGAGGTGGAGGAGGAGGAGGAGGAAGAGGATAAAAAGAAAGAGGATGAGGAGAAGAAGATGAATAATAATAATGATAATAATAATAATAATAATAGTAATAATAATGATAATAATAATAATAATAATGACAATAACAATAATAATAATTAGAATACTAATAATAATGATGATAATAATAATAATACGAATAAGAATAATAATAAAAAATAATAATAATAATAATGATAATAATAATGATGATAATGATGATAATAATAAGAATAATGATGATAGTAATAGTAATAATAATAATGTTAATAATAATAATGATAATAATGATAATAATAGTAATAATAATAATAATGTAATCATAATAATAATGATAATAATAAAAAGAAGAAGAAGAAGAAGAAGAAGAAGAAGAGGAGAGGAACGGAGGAGGAAGAGGCGGAAGAAGAAGAATAATGAAAAAAACAGTGGTATACCAGGAGGCCTGGCTTAGCTTTCCGCCCCGCCAGCCTTAGAGCCAGCGCGTGCCGCGAGAGCGCAGCCCCGAGCGCCATTGGGGCGCGCCCCACGCCCCCAAGAGGGGAGAAGAAGGGAGACGAAGAGGGAAAGGAGGAGGAGGAGGAGGAGGAGGAAGAGACGGAGAAGGAGGAGGAGGAGGAGGAGGAGGAGGGGAGGACGAGGAGGAGGAGGAGGAGGAGGAGGAGGAGGGAGGAGGACGAGGACGAACAGGAGGAGGGGAGAAGGAGAAAGCGGAGGGGGGGAGAGAGAGAGGAGGGAGAAGGAGGAAGAGGAGGGGGAGGAGAGCGAGGACGGGGCGGAGTAGGGAGGAGGAGGAAGAGGAGGAGGAGGAGGAGGATGGGAGGGAGGGAGGGAGGGAGGGAGGGAGGAGGGAGGAGGGAAAGGGGGGAGATGAGAAGGAAGGGGGGGAGGGGAGGAGGACGAGGACGAGAAGAAGGAGGGCAGGGGTAGGAGGGGCGGAGGGGGAAGGAAATGAAGAAGTGGGGCGTGCGCAGCCGCGGGGGAAGCCCGACGCCGAAGCCGTCGGACCAGCGGGCCTGGGCCAAGAACTGACTGCGGAAGGAGGGGCGTGGGGGCGGTGGTGAGGGTGGGGACACGCGGGTACCTCATCCTCTTCCTCCCCCACTGGCTTCTCCTCCTCCTCCTCCTCCTCCTCCTCCTCCTTCTGTTTCTTAGTCTGATTAGTGTGAGTCTACTATTTTCAGTTATGATCATAGATTACCTCCTGATGGCTCTTATTCGTGTAGGTTATTATGCATAGTACTCTTGTTAAGTATTGAATTAGAAGTGTGCTTAGCATTCCGAATCCTGTTTTTGGTATTCCTTATTCGCATGATTGTGTTTAGCATTGGTCTGAGTCGCCTATGTTGTGTTATAATATGTGTTCGCATGTTTTTGCGTATGTTGATGATTACGATGTTGTGCATTGTTTGTCGATGCCTCTTATCAGTACACGTATGACTATAATGATTCGTATGGTACGTCTTACGACTATTAATGGCATGCGCATTCGTATGGTCAATGATGTTAGAAGGCATAGCGTGATCAGTCGCAGTATGCTGTTTAATACTGGTCCCAGTTTCTTCTCATTCGCATCACTACTCGTATTCGTAGCATTGCTATGAGTATTCGCCATAGTCTCGTCATACTAATATAATTATCAGTATGCGTCCTCGCCTTGAAATTATTCGTGCTGGTAGTATCAGTATTAATAGTATTGGTTTTGCCCTTAGTAGTCGTATTAGTAGTAGCCGACATGATATGCGTACCAGTAATTGTAGCATCCTTCATAGTCGGATGAGTACTCCTCTTACCATTAATAATAGAATGGATGCTGGTCACATCCGGCGTCTTACTACGATTAGTAATGATAGTGTTAATGTGAGGAATTAAAAGTAATGCTACTAGTATGCTGACTATACTTAATAACTATAGCACTATCAGTATTATTGTTCGTATGAATACTATTAATTGTAAAGTTATTAGTATTAATATTATTATTCGTATTTTTATTATTAGTAGTATTAGTATTAGTATTATTGCTATTATTAGTATTAATATTATTATTAGTAGTATTAATATTCTTACTAGTACCATTATTACTCTGATTATTAGGATTATTATTATTATGATTAGTGTTAGTAGTATTAATATTATTATTATTATTAGCAGCAGTAGTAACCGTAGTAAAGTAGTAGTAGCGGTAGTAGTAGTAGTAGTAGTAGTAGCAGCAGTAGTAGTAATAGTAGTAGTAATAGTAGTAGCAGTAGTAGCAGCAGTAGTAGTAGCAGCAGTAGTAGTAGTAGTAGTAGGCCTGTGAGTTATAGTATTGGTGTCCCTGATGTTCGAATGTTACTACTAGTACGAATATTAGTAGCAATATCAGACTGCGTATAGTACGATTAACAAAACACGTCGTAATAGTATTCGCCGTAATCGTATTTGTCCTCTGCGTCTTCTTATGCGTTTTCTTCTTCGTCCTCCCCCCTCCCTCCTCACTCCTCCTCCTCCTCCTCCTCCTCCTTTTCCGCCTCCTCCTCCTCCTCCTCCTCCTCCTCCTCCTCCTCCCCCGCCTCCGCCTCCTCTTCCTGCTCCTCCTCCTGCTCCTCCTCCTTCTCATCCTCCTGGTCCTCCTCCTCCTCCTCCTCTTCCACCTCCTTTTCCTCCCCACCTCCTCTTCATCTGGCCCCTCCTCCTCATCCTCCTCCTCCTGCTCATCATCATCATCATCATCATCATCATCATCATCGTCATCAGCATCATCATCATCATCAGCAGCATCATCAGCATCATCATCAGCATCATCATCACCATCATCATCATCATCATCATCCTCCTCCTTCTCCTCATCCTCCTCCTCCGCCTCCTACTGCTCCTCCTCCTCGATTTTTTGGCCAGGGATTCTAGCGACAGCACGCGCGCAAAGGGGTCCGAACGATTTCGACACGCGGGCGCGAGAGGCCAAACTGGAAGCATTCGATGAAACTGTTGCAGAACCGTATGGTTGGCAAGAGCGCGGGCTCAAACTGTTTTGAACATTCTTGCTGCAAAACCAAATGTTTTTCGTGTATTGAATGTGTTCGTGACGCTCGACTTTGAAATCTCTAGGACACCGAATGTTTTCCAAAGATTCCAGCACGCGCCCGCGACGACGCGCGCGTGCGTACTTCGCCCCTTTTGTTGCAAAGGGTTGTTGGAAACTGTTGAGTTTTGATAAACGAAGGTGTGCTCATAATACTTGTTGCGGAGGATGCCGGGAGGAGTCGATACCAGTTGGGCTGGGACAGTACGACTTCACACTTAGGATGGACAATGGGGCAAAATCACATGCAAATTGCAATACGAAAAAAGTGGGTCGTTAATTCTGGGGAGGGGGGGTACATTTCATGATTCTTCTAAAGAAAAAGATGTTACATGGCGCAACCGATGTTGAACAATGTAGGCGGCGATGGGGCGGCGACGGGGCGGCGACGGCGAGCACGGAGCCGCCAGACCGCTACCCAGGCTCAAACGACGGGCGGCGACGAGGCGGCGACGGGGCGGCGACTGCGAGCACGGAGCCGCCCGACCGCCAGCCAGGCCCAGTTCCTTGGAAAAGAGATAAGAACCCTCAAATACAAGCACTGTTCGGGGAATACGGAGTATGTACAAAATGCATACGTGTGTACACACAAATATACTCCCACTCTGCCACTTCGCCGGCCAATGTCCACCCACTCCGGGACCTTCCATCCGACCCGCCAAAACCAATACAGAATCAAAATGTGTTTTGTCACCGCTTTCAAAACTGCCAAACGCGTTGATCTCCGTATGTAAGGAACCCACGACTCGTCGTAGCGACGCGGGACCTGTACGATTTTCTGCAGCATCCTTCTCCATGTCGACTGCAATGTAGATGCAGTGCTTGCCCACACTGTCCAGCATGAACTGGCGTACAAGGCTGTCGGCGTGACACCTGCGTCGAAAAGTCTCAGGCGAGCCAGCAAGGGGTATCTTGGCGAGCAGAAGACATGCTTGATTATTGCAGTTGACCCCAAGCAGCGGCCATTCTGCGTGATAGCTCTATCACGGAACACCCACGAGAACATAAGAAAACGTCCGAGAATCGAGAACCCTAGATTTTCGACTCGATGCAGACGACGACACCGCCAACGTTCAGCAACTCCGAAGGGTGTGGTTTGCAAAGGGTGTGGTTTGCAACCGGCGCCTGGGGGGCGCGGGCGAGGACCTCGACAGAGATCTCAGCCGCGCCCCGACGCGGGCTCATCAAACCTTTGGCGCAACGGGGTGACCCCCCTACAAGCCCCAGCGGCGCCGATAGCAAAACATACCTCGGCGTAACCACACACCCCTGCAGTCGCCGAAACGCTGCCCCTCCTCCCGGAGAGCTGCGCCCCGCACTCTGGCCGGTGTGCTCCCTTGGCAGCAGCGTGGTCTCTGCGTCGCCCCACAGGTCCGCGGCCTCCCCCAGCTCGGGCTCCATCAGCGGCAGGTGCCTGCCCCGTAGCCAGGGAAGAGGAAGGGAGGAGGGAGGGAGGGAGGGAGGGAGGGAGGGAGGAGGATCGGGTAGGAAGGGAGGGAGGGAGGGAGGAGGGAGGAGGAGAGAGGAAGGGAGGAGGGAGGAAGCGAGAAGGATCGGGCAGGAAGGGGAGGGGGGAGGAAGGCGGTTTGGGGGATTTGGGGAGAGGCATCCGTCGCTCCGAGCGCAGCTTCGTGAGGCTGGCCAGGCTGGGCCGACCCTCCCCGAGGGAGTTCGCGGAGCGGGGCGCAGCGCACACGGGTCAGCCGCCAGACGAGGCCAGCAGCTCCCTGGGGACAGGGTTGCTGGAAAAGCGCACCGTTCTCCCCGTCCCATCACTGCCCGTGGCGAGGATCGGGGAGGAGGATCGGGGAGGAGGATCGGGGAGGAGGGAGGCAATCAGGCGATTGGGGGACTTGGGGCTAAGCATCCGTCGCTCCGAGCGCAGCTTCACAAAGCTAATGAGGATGCCAGGGAGGAGGGACGTCGTAAAGCAGGGCGCAGCGCGCACGGAGTAGCCGCCAGACGATGCCAGCGGCTCCCTGGGAATCCCCGTGGAAGATACGGACAGATCCCAGAAAAAGCGCACCCCATCCCCCGTCCCATCACTGCCCATGGCGAGGATCGGGGAGAAGGATCGGGGAGGAGGGGGAAGGAGGAAGGCGATCAGGCGACTGGGGGAGTTGGGGAAAAACCTTCATCGCTCGAAGCACAGCTTGATGGAAGGTATTCACTTGAGGTGGCCCCTCCCCTCTGGCCTTCAGAAGACGGGCCCTGTGGCTGCGCTCAGAGCGGCACCCTTCGACCGCCTCACGCGGGCCATCGAAGCTGCGCAAGGCGGCCACTCGATACAGCTCCAGGGCCTCGTGAAACTCTGACTTTGCCCGTTCTGGCGATCTCGCAGGGTCAGCACACACACACACACACACCGAGGGCAGAGGGAGGAGGAAGAAGGAGGAAGGAGGATCCAGGAGGAAGGAGAAGGAACAGCGAGGACGGAGTGAGAGAGGAGGAGGAGGAGGATCGAGGAGAAGGATAAGGGAGGAGGAGGGAGGAGGAGGAGGAGGAGGAGGAGGAGGAGGAGGAGGCGGGTCGAGGGTCGAGGCTTTTGTGCGTTTGGGGGCCCCTGGTGGCCTCCTGGAGCCCTCCTCTGGGGACCCCTGGGGACCCCTCCTGGGGCACGTGCTTTTCCTCTGCCCCCGCACTGCTGTCAAGCCCGTGCTGGGCCAGCAGATTGCGAAAATATCGACGACGGAGTATGTCAGGCGAACTCTGGTCTCTAGGCCCGTGCGCCCTTGGCGGCCCTGGGCCCGTCCGAAAACGACTCGGGCCGAGAAGCATGAGAAGCCAAGCCAGCTCCTGGGAAGGAGGCGAAACATCTGATAGGCAACCACGTGTGAGCCCTACCCCTGCAGGCCAGATTTCCGAACAACGCTGGCTGGGGCTCAGATGTCTAAGGATGTCTGCAGCCGAGTGAATCCCAGCGGGGATGTCCAACACGGGTAGGGAAGCCTCGTTGTGAAAAAACGACTGGGCTGGCAAACTGCCAAACACCTCCCACCTCCTCTGGCTGCGAGATCGTGAAGGGGCCCTGGGACACACAAATAAATAGACACAAATAACAGGATTCCCCATATCTTCCCATACTTTCTGGGTTGTCGTCTTCCCCCCACTTCCCCTATTTTCCCATATTCTCTGGGGGAATCGACGATTCATTGTGTCTGTCTGTTTTTCTCCCTCCTGACTGGTTGCGAGATGGATCACAACGGCCAGCTCTTGGCGATCTCCGGCCTCTGGAGGCCCTTGCCGGGCCCCCGGGCCGTCCAAGAACGGCTCGGAAGGAGCAGCTGGTGCCACGGCTGTGGCGAGCAGGCGCACAGACGCTTGCCGCGAGGTGTGAGGCGCCCCGTGGTAGTCGAGGCAGCTCCCGTGCCGACGGCGACGCGATGCGATGAGAAGCTGATCCCAGAGAAGGTGCCTAGACCTCTGGGGCGCCAACGTGCAAAAAGTCAATACGCTGCGCATATGATCATGTATCTATGTATGTACTAAGAAGTTTGTTGTCTATGATTCTGAAAACGGTTCTCTTGGAAGGCAGAGCGCGGAGGGAAGGTGCGGCTCGCAAGAGGGGCAGGGCGGGGGAGGCGTGGCGGGAGGCGCAGAGGTGGGGCGCGGAGGCGCGGCAGGAGGGAGGCGGAGGCGTCCCCTCACTCCCACCCCCCGTACTTCCTGCCTCGGGGCAAAGGGGCGATCACCAACGCCATCATCACTGTCCCCGTCCTCCCCCTCCGTCTCGCCAAGACAGTGGCATTAGTGATCGTTCTCAGCCTGAGCACCAGGGTCAGAGTCCACAACAGCTACATCATCCAGCTCATCTCGCTGATCCCTCCTCCTGGTCACTCCAAATAGCTCCACGCTCCGCTCACGCGCTCCTCGTCCTCATCATCAGCAGCATCCTTAAGATCAGAATCAGCATCATAGTCATTGTCATTATATTCCTCCTCATGGTCGTCATCATTATCACACTTCGATCACCCATCACTGATCGTCATTCAAATCGGCTTTGACACTCCTCATCACCACCCTCGTCAAAAAATGGCGACGCCGCCATCATCACAGTCAGAATCGCCATCACCATCCTGAGCATCGCCATCATCATGGGCAAGGCACCTTCGTCATCGTGGTCATTGTTTCCAGCATAATCATCACCATCAGCAGCAGCAGCATCATCATCGTCACCATCATCGTCATCATCATTATCAGCATCCTCACCATCATCAGCAGCATCATCATCATCACCATACCCACCGTCAGCACTACTGTCGTCACATTCATCATCACCACCATTATCAGAGCCACCACCACCTCCACCAGCAACGATATCATCATCACCATCGTCATCAGGAGCAGAAGCATCGACCTCCACATCAACATCATTATCATCACGATCAGTATCATCATTATCATTGTCATCATCATCATCATCATCATCATCATCATCATCATCATCACCATCATCATCATCATCATCATCATCATCATCATCATCATCATCATCATCATCATCATCATCGTCATCATCATCATCAGCATCGTCATCATCGTCACAACTCTCATCACTAGCCTCAGCATCATCATCACCACCACCACCATCATCATCATCACCATCATCACCAGCAGCGGCATTACCATCATCAGCAGCAAGATCATCATCAGCATCCGCATCATCATCAGCAGCATCACCACCACCACAACAATCGTGAGCATCATCATCCATACCATCATCATCAACAGCAGCAGGATCATCATCATCCACAGCACTAGCATCCTCATCATCATCATCATCAGCAGCAGCGTCAGAATCAGCACATCATCATCATCATCATCATCATCATCATCATCATCATCATCATCATCATCATCATCAGAATCATCATCATCATCATCAGCAGCATCCCCATCGTCATCATCATCATCATCGTCATCATCACCATCATCACCATCAGCATCATCGTCGTCAGCATCATCATCATCATCATCAGCAGCAGCATCGTCACGCTTCGCATCAGCTGCAGCTGAATCTGCAACATCATCATCACCATCATCAGCATCACCACCATCACCATCAGCATCATCACCGTCGTCATCATCATCAGCATCATCATCAGCATCACCATCATCATCACCACCAGCATCATCATCGTCATCATTGTCACGATCATCATCCTAATACATAATAATAACTATAACAATAAGAACAATCATCCTCATCATCATCATCATCATCATCAGCAGCAGCAGCAGCATCATCAGCAGCAGCAGCAGCATCAGCGTAAGCGTCAGCATCAGCATCATCAGCATCACCCCATCATCATCATAAGCATCAGCAGCATCATCACAATCACCATCGCCATCACCATCATCATCATCATCAGCAGCAGCATCATATCATCATCACCATCACCACCATGACCATCACCATCACCATCACCATCACCATCCTCATCCCAATAGTCGCCATCATCATAACCATCATCATCAGATCATCCTCATCGACATCATCATCATAGTCATCAGCACCACCACCATCATCATCAGCAGAAGCAGCAGCATCGGCATCGCCGTCGTCGTCATCCTCATCGCCATCGTCATCGTCATCGTCATCTTTATCACCGTCGTTGCCGGAGTCGCCGTCTGCGTAAGAATCACCCTCACCGTCGGCATCATCGCCGTCGTCGTTGTCGTCCCCCCTGCAAAGACCAGGCGAGAAGGCGAAGAGGTGGGCACGGCAAGAAACAGGAAGAGGAGGAGCCAGCGAGGAGGAGCGGGAGGGGGAGAAAGGAGGCCCAAGAGTAGAGAGAGGAGACAAAGGAGGCACAAAATTGAGATCTCGAGGACTGAAGGCCCCAGGAGATCATAATCGGCCGAATCCCAGAGTTGGTGATATGAATTTACCATATCGCCTGTTCGGTCTCAAGAGCGGCCCGGACGGTCCAAGAGGCCTCCAAGCCCGTCCCTAAACAGCCCAAGAGGCCCCCAAGAGGGCCTCAAGACGGCCCAAGAGGGTCATAAGATGGCAAAGGAGGGACCCAAAGACGACCCCAAGAGGCCCCCAAAACAGCCCCACGAGGGGACCAAGAGGAGAACTCGAACTGACCCCTCGAGCCCTTCACCCCAGGTGACCTCGAGGCCGATAATTCAGCTCGAGAGGTGCTGCTTCCAGCGATCATGCTGCCAAGATGGTCACGGCCAGCGCTCTGCCTCCGCGTCATCATCCTGCCGGTGCTCCTCCTCCTTCCCTCCCCCTGCCCCTCCCCTTCCTCTCCCCCCCGCACCTCCCACCCACGCAGGAGGAAGGCGGCGACGAGAAGAGTGAGGAGGAGGCAGGCGAAGGATCAGTCGGAGAAGGATGGCGACGACTACGACGACGACGACGACGACAATGACGAGGGATAGGGGGAGTGACAAGAGCAGGAGGGAGGGGCAGACTGACGACGAAGACTACGACGTCGACCACGACCAAGACGACGACGACGACCAAAACCCGCTCCAAGTCAATCCCCAGAAATCTCTCCTGGGGTCCATCCTGGCCAATGGTTTCAGCTGCGTCCCGCTGCGAGGACGAGAGCCGCGAGAAACGTCCGCACGCCTCCGAACTGACGACGTCGACCGAAGGCGACGACGACGGCGACGGCGACGACGACAGGCCCCAGAAATCTCGGTCCCGCCCCAGGGGGGCTCCGTTTTTGGTGGCCCCGCGCCCCGAAGACGGCGCCCAGGGGTCCAAACTGGGAGACAAACCTGCTCGATCGATCGATCCACCGACGGCGACGACGACGCCCACCCGCCGGCATCTCCCGAGGGCCTCCGAAGGCCCCCGAGGGCGCCGCCGAAGGCCGCCGACGACCCCGCCGATGGCCCGCCGATGGCCCGCCGATGGCCCGCCGAAGGCCCGACGGCCCAGTCGACGGCCCCTGCGGAGGGCCCTCCGAAGCCCGGCCGACAGCCTCCCCGAGGGACCCCGCCGATCGGGCGAAGAGAACTATGCACATGCACTGATCCTGGCAAGGCCCATCCTTGACCCAGGATCGGTGCATATGCCTTCCTGGCCAAGGCAGGAGGGCGTATGCACCGATCCTGGGCTCAGGATGGGCCTGGCCAGAAGCGGTGCATGTGCATAGTTCTCTTCCCCCTAGCCGAGGGCCCCCCGCCGAACCCTAAACCCTAAACCCTAAACCCTAAACCCTAAACCCCTAAACCCCTAAACCCGAAACCCGAAACCCGAAACCCGAAACCCGAAACCCGAGGGCCCCCGCCGAGGGCCACCGCCGAGGGCCCCGCCGGAGGGCCCCGCCGGAGGGCCCGCGGGCGGCGGGCGGCGGCGCCCCGCGCCGAGCGCCCGCCTGGAGCCGCGCGGGGTGCGGCCGCGCCGCGGGCGCGCCTGCCGCGCCTGCCGCGGCTCGCGCGGGCGGGGGCAGGGGGCGTCCTGCCGCGGAGGGGCGGGGGCGCCGGTCGGGGTCGCTTGCCGTCGCTCGGACGTCCATTTCCCGTGCATTTTTCGGCTTCGTGCGTGTTTTGTTTTTTGCTCGATGGTCCAGGATGGTCCTCGATGGTTCTCGCCGAGAAAACATGCACACGTCCGAGCGATGCCAAGATCGTGTCCCCGCCCCCCGCCCCCTGGGGTCCAACAGCCTGCTCGAGGGGGGAGGGGGTATACGAGCTCCCCGGCGCCCCCCTGGAGCCTCCCAGGAGCCACGAGGAGGCCCAGGGGAGCCCGAACAGCGCGCCGAGATGCTCCGAAAGAGCGAGGCTCCCGACCCCCCCAGAGCAGCCATGAGAGGGCGGCCTTTTGCCCAGACCCCACTGGCTCCGAGACAGCTCAAATCCGACCCCCTCCCAAATCAGACCACCCCGCTTTTCTTGTGAAATCCAGGGTACACTCTGCCCGGCTGGCCCTTCTGATCGGCCAAGAGCTCGGGCTGTCGAGTCGCAGCCAGTCGCGGCGGCGCGGGTCGGGCACCCAGGGCTGGCCAGGTGTGGCGCGCGCAGATGGGTCCCTTGGGGACGGCAGCATCGGGGGGCTCCGGTTGGGTCTCGTCGCGAGTTGGGCGGTGCGGTGGTTGCCTCGATTGGGGGTGCACACACACTTTTTGGCGTCGCGGCCCCGCGCGCAGCGACAGTGCGCAGAAAGGCCAGGGAAGCGGCGACTCTCGAACCTCGATCCTCCGCCGTCGCCGCTGCCGTCAGCGCCGGTCCTGCTGCTGAGGCCGGCGTCCGGGAACAGCGTTGCCGCAGTTCGCCGCCGTCGCCGCCGCCGCTGCTGCCGCCGGTCGCCGTCGGCGCCGTCGCTGGTCGTAGTCGACGTCGTCGGCGTCGTCGTCGTCGTCGGCGTCGCCGTGGTTGTCGTCGTCGTGGTCGTGGTTGTCGTCGTCGTCGCCGTCGCCGTCGTCGCCGTCGTCGGCGCCGTCGTCGGCTGCGGCGGCGTCGGTCCTGCCGCGACCCTCCGCCAGCCGTCAACGTGCGCGAGGAGCCATCCAGCCGCGCGCGGGCACTCTCGAGCCGGGCACGCAGGCGGCCGTGGAGGCTGCGCTCCTCGAGCGGGCTTCAGGCACCGACGCCGACGCCGACGCCGCCGCCGCCGCAGAGGCCGCCGACGACCACGGGACGACGACGACGACGACGACGACGACGACGACGACGACGACGACGACGACGACGACGACGACGACGGCGACGGCGACGGCGACGGCGACGGCGACGGCGACGGCGACGACGACGACGATGGCGACGACGACGACAACGACGGCGACCACGACGGCGACCACGACGACCACGACGACGACGGCCAGCGGCTGCGGCGGCGACGGCGCCAGCGACAGCGTCGGCAGCGGCGGCTTCGGCAGTGGCCGCAGCGACAGCAGGTGGCGGCGACGACGGACGGCGGCGGCGGCGGCGGCGGCGACGACGACAACGACGACGACGAAGACGACGACGACGACGACGATGACGACCACGACGTCCACGACGACGACGACGACGAAGACGACGACGACGACGGCGACGACGACGACCACCCCCACCATCACCACGACGGCGGCGGCGGCCGCGGAGGTGGGGACAGCGGCGGCGGCGGCGGCGGCGGCGACGACGACGACGGCGGCGGGGATCGTTGGGCGCTCAAGGTCTCCACGGCCGGATTGCTCTCAAGATTCTGGTCAGAGCGTACCCCTGGACAGGTCGGGGGAGCGATATTTGAGGGGAGGCGGAGTCGACGAACGACGACGACGACGACGACGACGACGACGAATCCAGCGAGGACGACCACGACGACGACCACGACGACGACGACGACGACGACGACGACGACGACGAAGACGACGACGACGCCGCCGACGACGACGACGACGACCAAAACGACGACGACGGCGACGACGACGACAAATCCAGCGACGACGACGACGACGACGACGACGACGACGACGACGAAGTCGTCCCTGCCTGGCGCAGGAAGGGCGCACAGAAAGCGAGAATGCGGGAGGAGCCCTCCGGAGCAGAAACTGCCGCAGCCCCCACGATGGAGGAAACCAGCGACCAAGGGGACGGAGGAGTGAGGGAGGGGGGGAGATAAGATGAGATAAGACACCTCTGCGGTGCAATCCAGCCAAGGACTAGGAAAATAGTTGTGAAACTGGGACGAGCTCTTCAAGGACCTTATCGTTGCCCTCGGCATGCGAGGGGTGCATTCCCTCACGGACTCACGGACTCGACATGGGAAGGGAAGGGAAGGGAGGGGGGAGGAGGGAGGAAGGGAGGGAAGAGGGAGGAGGGAAGGGGGAGGAGGAAGGGGAAAGGATCAGGGGCAGGAGGGGCGGAGAAGAAGGAGGAGAAGGACAAACTTTCACTTCGAGGTCTCCTCTGCGACGGAAAAGTGAACCTCGGAGCATGGAGGCAACTCGCGTCTCCATCCGACACTGTGAACGAACGTGGAAGGAAGGAGGGGGAGGGAGGGAGAGAGGGAGGGAGGGAGGACGCCTTCTTAGAGAGAGGGAGGGAGGGAGGGAGGGAGGGCGACGCCTTCTTAGAAGCCAACCCTCATCGCGCCAACCCTTCGTGAGCGCCGCCAACTCCCGCCTCCCGACGGGAAGGGTAGGTACCCACGGCCCTGAGCTCCTCGAGGCGGAAGCGCCAGATCCAGTCCTGACAGGGGAAGGGCGCTACTTTCGGACCCACCCCTCATCGTCATCCGCCTCCTAACTCCTCCTTCTCCTCCTCCTCCTCCTCGTCCTCCTCCTCCTCGTCCTCCTCCTCCTCATTCTTCTCCTCTTCTCTCACCACAGCATCGTCATCAGCCTCAGCCTCAGCCTCAGCCACAGCCTCCGCCTCATCGTCATCATCATCATCAGCATCATCATCATCAGCATCATCGTCATCATCAGCATCATCATCGTCATCGTCATCATCGTCAACAACAGCATCATCATCAGCAGCAGCAACAACATCATCATCCGCATCATCATCAGCAGCAGCATCATCATTATCATCGCCAACAGCATCATCGTCATATGTATCATCTTGGTCGTCGTCGTCAACAGCAGCAGCATCACCACTACCACCATCATCATAATAATAAGTGTCATTACCATCAGCATCAGCATCATGATCATCATCATCATCATCATCATCATCATCATCATCATCATCATCATCATCATCATCAGCCGCGTCATCGTCGTCATCATCAACATCAGCATCAGTAACATTGTCATCATCAGCATCATCATAATAATCGTCAGTAGCATATTTATCGTCATCAGCAGTATCATCATCAGCAGCAGCAGCATCCTCAACATCATCATCATCATAATCATCATTACCCTCATAATCATCCTCATCATAATCATCATCATCCTCATCCTCATCATCATCATCATCATCATCGGCTTCATCGTCATCGTCAACAGCATCATCATAAGCAGCATCATCATCATCATCAGCATCCTCATCAGCATCATCATCGTCATCATCAGCGTCATCAGCATCAGCATCATGATCATCATCACTTCCATCATCAGCAGCAACAGCAAGATCATCATCGTCGTCATCATCATCAGCGGCATCATCAATGTTCTCAGTATCATCAGCAGCATCATCCTCATCATTACCATGAGCAGCATCATAGTCGCCTTCATCCTTATCACCATACTCAGCATCATCAGCCGCATCATCATCGTCAACATCATCATCATCATCACAACCACCACCACCATCACCATTACCATTAACATCTTCATCATCATCAACATTGTCTGAGCCCTCCTCCGTGTCCACCTCGTCCCTCTTATCCTGAACATACTCTTCCTCATCTTCCTCGTCTTCCTCCTCCTTCTCCTCTTCCTCATCACCACCACCACCATCATCATCAGGATCAGCATCATGATCATCGCCGTCGTCGTCTTCATCATCATCAGCATCATCAGCAGGATCATTATCATCATCCTCATCACCATCAGCATCATCATCATTACCATCATCAGCAGCAGCGTTATCATAATCATCAGCAGCAGCATCATCATCATCGTTGTCCTCGCCCGCCTCCTCCTTCTGCCCTCATTCTCCTCCTCCCCATCTTCTGTACCGTCTTCTCGTCCGTCTTCTCGTCGTGCGTTTGCTATGATTCCTTTCTCCTCCTCCTCCTCCTCCTCCTCCTCCTCCTCCTCCTCCTCCCCCTCCTCCCCCTCCTCATTGTCACCACCTTCATCGTCGTCGCAATCATCAACCTGGGATTGCGAATCGTCGTCATCGTTGGGGCTGCCTCCGGGAGGATAAGCGACCAGGCAGCCCAGAGAAGATGAGAAGGAGGAGAAGTGGGAGAAGGAGAGGGAAAGAAGAAATGGGATGGGAGGGGAGGGTGGAGAGTGGAGAGGGGCGAGCTAGGCGCGCTCGTGCCACGTCTGACATGCAGCCGCTTGCACTCATCTCTCTTCGCCGAACTGGGGATCGCAACTGACTTGTTCAGATCCTTATACGGCACTTGCCAAGCCTAAGCCGTCGTCTACTGCACAGGGGCAGGTGGAGTTAGAGGAGCCCGCGTGCAGGGAGATCGGGCGACGAGAAGCTGCGCACAATCGAGCAGCCCAATCCGCAGACTTTTTTGATTCGCGGGTCGAGAGCGCACCTCACACCCAATTCGCAGACACGAGGAGGACGACAAAGAGGAAAGAGGAGGGGGAGGAGGAGGAGGAGGAGGAGGAGGAGGAGGCGGAGGAGGACGAGGAGGAGGAGGAGGAGATTGAGGAGGAGGAGGAGGAGGAGGACCAACGGAAACCCAGGAGTCATCAACGATGTTGAAATAAACCCTCTTCCAAGCTCCCTCGTCATGGGCCCTACAACGGTTCATTTTCACTGGTGGAACTGCCTCGTTGGAAGACAACCGGTTGAAGACCCTGAAGCATACCAAAACAATGTTCTCGGGATTCCAACGCCACG